AAAATATGTATAATTGTTAATAAATAAAAATCATTTCTATATTTATTTCATGTTACTATAATGAGAATAGAGGTTTTAGCATTGTAGTTATGAGAATTTTGGGGGAAAATTGCTTAATTATTTTGAAAATGAGGTAAATGCAAAAACTCCTCTAAATTATTTAATTCTCCTAAAATAGTCTTCTAAAATATTATTCTTTTTTTTTTCTTTTTGATTTATCTAGAAACAAATGTCCTCTTGTCCAGGATTTACAGTTTGCAGCACATGATGGCATCTAGATTGGAATGTCATTGTGGACCGTTATGTAACACTGTCAGGTCTAGATGGAGCAGATGATTGAGATCTTACTTGACAACTTTATTTTTGTAGGTGTTTTGTGTGCTTTTCATGCATGAGTGTGTGACATTGAAATCTGAATGTTTTTTTTTTTAAGTTCTGACATGCTTGACCTCCTCTCGGGGTGACTTATAAAAGTTTAATGTGGAATTTGCTTCTGCATCTCCCAGTAAGGCACACAGTCTTTCCTAAACACAAAATCAGTTTATTGGCTCGCAGAGGTTTTTTTGAAGAGAGGGATGTCTGATCGCCATAGAAACGAACACATAAACATTTACAGAGAGGGAATGTTCTGCTTTAACTTTCAGTGCTTTGTTTTTTTTTAAACGACATCTTACATAAACTAGCCTTTCACTTCCTGAATGACCTAGCAGACTCATACATTCAAAGGTGCCAGATGTATTACTAACAAACCTAATTGTTTATTGACCTTTATAGCCCACAGACGGTCCTTTTGGTAGCACACAAGGGCTTTGAGAGAAGGGCTTGTATATATGTTAAGTAAAATAATGAAGTCATTTGAAGTTATAGTGGACACAGTTCCTGTAATATTCATGAATGATTAAAAGATGCAAGCTGCAGTTTCATTTAGGGATGCACCGATACCGATACTGGTATCGGTATCGGGCCCGATACTGAGCTCCTGTACTCCTACTCGTACTCGTTAAAATGCCCCGATACCAAACGCCGATACCACACCGACAACAGAACAACAGACAGCAGAATGGCATTAAGGATATCTACTACGAAGTATATGTATGCAATGAATATAATGTTAAACATTCAGTATTAACGCCTGTACAGCTGATGTGCGCGAGCTGATAAACAAAGCACGCAGAGTGGATTGAGCGGCGGCGGCGCAGATGTGCGAGCTTGTCGAGTGAATATATCTTTCTCACAGACATCACTGGAAAGTTTGTAGTTCGGTCGGATACGTCAAAAGCAAGTAAGTAAAACAATGCACAAGTTACTTAACGGTAGGAAGAGAGAGAGAGAGAGAGAGCGCGCACTTCTGTTTCTAAACTATAGCGAATAAACTGTGATAATGTGAGAAATGTTGAAGGTGTCTGAATAAATTTTGGTTTGACTGTATCTATTTGATAAATGAAGTTAACCAACTAACATTATACATACTCTTTTGGTTTCTGTACCCAATATTTAAAAAATGTACAAATGCAATAAAAATATTGGTATCGGTACTCGGTATCGGCAAGTACCAAAAATAAAAGTATCGGTATCGGGCGAGTACTGGAAAAAGTGGTATCGGTGCATCCCTAGTTTCATTAATGTGAATGCTTTGCAGTCCTTTAATTGGAGACGGGCTTAAATTCCCTTTGGTTGAATCTCATCAAGAAATAGCATGTATTTCACCTCCAATATCATAAGCAAAAAAAGGATCATTAAGATTTTTTGCGTTGTGTCATTATTTTCATAATTAAGCTCATTGTCTGTACTATAATAATCATCCTGCATTTAGTGCAGTAAATTCTTCCATGATGTATAAATACTTTTATATGTTTAATAATAAAATAATAATTTATCTTTATTTTTCTTGCATTGTAGTAATGACATTTTTTGTCACAATGAAAAAAAAATATCCTAATGATCCTAAATAGCTTTTTCCTCTTATTTTTTGTCATTTCTAATTTATTTGTTTTTACTATTTTATGACTTTTTTTTTTTTTTTTTTTTTTACTATTTTCAGCTATTTACAATTTTCATACTTCCTGGAGATTTAGTAGATTATTATACGAGTTGTAAGATCTTCAAAAGAGTGTTGTTATTGCTTTGTTTATGTGATTTGTATGGTCTCCTGTGTCCCACAACCACAACAAATATATATATTTGTAAATTAATCAAAATTTCTTCACACCTTCTTCAGTTTTGCGGGCTGCTATGCAAGTGTCATCATAATGACAAACAGTTTTTATAAATCACATTTCTTGACATTAAAACTGATATTTGTTTTATTCCTTGCAGGTCCCCAAGGCTGGAGAAAACTTTATTAAACTGTGTAAGAAAGGATATTATGATGGCACAATATTCCACCGCTCTATTAGAAATTTCATGGTAAACAAATTTTTCATAAAATTACATTTTATTCATTATATTGTTGTAAGTGAAGTAGTTTAGATATTAGATTTTTATTTTAATTTACATTTTTTGGTCAGGCTTGACATTTTCCATGATTTGGCCATTTAAAGCCATAGAATTACCTTCTCTTTTTTATCTTGGAAAATATGTGGCATATTTATGTTATTTGTTATTTTCAGATTCAAGGAGGAGACCCTACAGGGACTGGTACAGGTAATCTTTTTACATTTGTTCTGAATCATTTATCATTTTGATCACTGATGTATAACGGTTACAACTCAGACTGACGGTGATGATTATTTGCACAATGTATACATATATGCAATATATTTACAGTGTACAAATTATGCTTTTAAGGTCATTTAGACTTTAAAAGTGCATTAAAATCAAAACAATATAAAGTCCTTGAACATGAAAAGTAATAGAACTTTAGTATTTAAGTCTAGTTTAAGTATATTTCCCCACAAAATTTAATGTTTTCTCATATATCCCACTCTGAGCTTTGAGAGGGCTGTGTGACACAAGCAGGACAGAACCCATCTCTTGTCTCTTATCTTCATGTTTTCTCCCAAAATTCCAAAGTAATTGACACTCAGGGAAAGTGGAACTGAATTACCGGTGCATGTAAAATGCAGTCTGTACTACAGAGACCTGCACAATGTGCACGTGACGTGGAAAAATAGATTTTTTTCTAGGGATGCACCGAAATGAAAATTCTTGGCTGAAGCCGAAACCGAACAAAATGAAACACTGGGCCGAAGGCCAAATACTGAACATGGTTTTTCGAGATTTTGTCCCCATGTATTTTGCCAATTTTTTTCACCTTTGCATAAATTAAATAGCCAAAATGTGCTTTTTACTGTTTTGTCTTGCTTTTCAAAGAAAAAAATCAATTTCAAAACAACAATTTAAAATTATTTAACACTGAACATTTTTTACATTTTAGCAGACATTATACCAACAAAACACAATTTAACTTAAAATTAATAAGTTGGTAAAATAATATTTTTTGGCCATGAATCAGGCACGTATTTTTTACTGTAAAATTAAAAGCAGCCGTGCTGAGAAGAGACTTCTTTTAAAACATTAGAAAATATTACAGATCCTAATTTGAACACTATGTGTGAATGTTATAATAAATGTATTAACAGAGCTGTTGTAATGATTAGTATCATTATTATTGTCTTACTTTTTATTTTTATTTTACAGAACAACAGTAAAATTACAATACTAACATTTATAAATGTTGATGGAGTTCTTGCTTCTCAGCTTTTATTTTGGTGGAAATGCGCAGGAAGATCTCAGCGCTTCTTTTTGTTGACAACAGCAGATTTATAAATGAGTCTCATTATGAATACGTCGCACGTATCACATTGTCACATGCATTGTGAAAATTCATAAAAATGTGACTGAGCAACTGACGAGTAACACTGGTTCAGCGCAGATTTTCTTTGTTTGAACCCTGGTTAGCAAGCAGATCCGCCACGAGCTCTTGCAGCGCTGTCAGAATACATGCAATTTGTGTGTGTTTTAGAAAACGTAACGTTCTGCAGTTTATTTACTAATTGTTTAAGACCATTTCGCAATTTCAATCATCATACAGTAACCAGCAACAATCACCCCTTCCTCTTCTCATCGAAGATATGCGATGCAGTACTAAACAGTCTCTCGTTGTCAGTGCTTGTAATGATTTTTGCGTTTTTCTCTGACAGTTTAAATCAGGGGTGCCCAAACTCAGTCCTGGAGGGCCGGTGTCCTGCAGCGTTTAGCTCCAACTTGCCTCAACACACCTGCTGGTTTGGGCACCCCTGGTTTAAATGCTTCCACACTGCTGACATGTTTGTTGCATTATAAAGAGTTCGCGCCTCTCACTCTTCGCTGGTTGCTATTTGATCGCGTCATATCATTGTTCGGTACAATTTATTCTGTCTTTTTGCTTATTTGCTATTTTCGGCCGAATCATTTCGGTTGCCGAACATTCGGTGCATCCCTAATTCTTTCAACTTGTTAATTTGTTCCAGTGTTCCCATAATTTGTGGCCATGTTTCATGAATTTGTTCCCTTGTTAAATTAAAACTAAGGAATGAATTAGTACAAATTAGCCATGATTTAACTAAAACGAGTAAACAAATAAATATGTAATGGAATTGAATTTGTAATTTGTGGCTACAATATCTTTCATCTTTCCCCTTCCCCATGCCTTACTTTGTCTAACAAGTACATGTAGCAAGTTTATATATATATTAAATACAAAGAATAAAAAGTAGATAGAGAGAGCTAGTGTGAGTTTTGTTTTTAATTTTTATAATAAAAAATCCAAAAACAAATAGATAGAATAGAAAAAAGAAGAATGTTAGTGTTAGACGGTCAAGTTTTTTTTATATATAAATACACTATAATGAATAAAATAAAAAAGAGAGTGTTAGTGTTAAGTGTAGATGGAAGAGATAATGTCAGTAATGTCTAATTTGTCAACAAATCACTTGTTGTGTAGACTGACATTTACTGAAAGAAAAAAGTTAGGCTAACAATGCTTTCTCTAACAGTTTGATTGACCACACAACAGAACACAAAGCCATGTACGGCTTGATTCAAATGTATGGGCTCTCTTACCTCTCTCATTCGGCATGAATCCAAATGTTTCCATGGTCGCAATGTGGCATTTGGCTGCTAACCAATTATTTCTTTTGTGAACAAAGCTTTGTACTTCACTCGTGTCCTAGTATTCATATCATATGCACAAAAATGTGTTTTTTGTTGTACCACCGCAGTGAGGTACTTTACAACATGGTCCTCCTTGGTTGCTCTCTTCAAATTTTGTTTGGAAAACTGTGAGCAATAGTGATATTTAACGTGATCTTTTTCCATGAAAGTGCAAGTAGAGCCTTGTTTTCAATCACATCAAATTAAATATGGCATCTACCCTCACCAAGGTGCAAAATATCAAGCGTAGCGTTAGTTCTGGCAGGTCACGTTAGTCAAGCTCGCATCAGCTGACCTTCAGCTGATCCCCATCTACCTATGGGAATACGACACCTATCTAAGCATTCATATATAAGGTCCCTCAGTATTATCAGCAGTTTTCGCATTGCTCAATAGCTAATTACCCTCCTCCATCCCCAACTCCTCCTCTGTCAGTCGGGATTCAGTCTTCTGATTCTCCTTGAATCAGACTAATTCTAAAATGTGTACATAAAATGATTGAACTTTAACAATATCTGCAATACATTTATGTTAGTTCTGTTCTGTTTACCCTGGGGGGTTATTGCTGCTCTCCCTGCTCTCATCCATGCTAGGCTGCATGGATGCACAGGGAGTTCTTGCCCAGAACAGAACCATACCGCCAATCCAAACTGTATGCTAATTGTCAATCATCTTTGACGATAGTGGTCCTGACAGAAATATTGAATACATGGGTTTAGTTACAAGTCTAAGTCAGTTGGATGACTCATGCACATTTTTGTGATTCTCCTTAAAATTACCAAGATTTTTCGAATGAAAGCAATTACAGGAAGTTTAGCATTTGATTAAAAACAAATGCTCTAACAAATTCTTTTTCATATTCAGTTGGTCAGATGAGCTTGATATTACTTTCTCAGACTTTCCTGAGCTGTCTAGACAATATGACCTCGGCTTTCGTCAGAACATCAAACTGAATGGCTTTTTTGATGCACATTTGCGAGGGATGTTTTCCTGTGGTCATGAGTGTTAAAAGGTGCAGGTCTAATTGAGAAACAGAAAGGGTAAGGAGTTAGTGCACTCTATTCCCATGTATCTAAAATTCAATCCCATAAAAACTGCACCAGCCTCACCTGAGACCTTTGTGTAAAAAGAAGGACTGAAAGCAAGAGGAGAAGGAAGTAGACTGAAAGATTTGTCATGAACAGAGAGTGAATTTTAAAGTGTTTAGTATTAGACTTGAAGGTCTGAAGCAACTTCTATCTTCCAGTCATTCTCACGCGTATATTACCATGCACATTGAGGCGAGGTTTGCTATTGCATTTGACCTAAAATAGATGCAAATAAGAGGGTGAGATTTTGTATCAAATGTGTGCTTTTAGTCACTCGAGTGGGACAGTGTGTAAATGACTGTTCACGTGTGTTAGGGAAGAGTTTGCAGTGTCCTCAATCCTCAGTGATGCATTTGCATATGCATGTGATTATCTGTCAGAATGGCAACAATTATACAAATCAATTCTCTTGATTATAATTGTACAATAGTGTAATTAAAGGCGCATGCCTTTTTTTTAGAGGAATAATTCACACAAAAATTAAAATAATTATTTTGTCATCATTTACTCTTGTCATTTCTGACTTACTTTCATCTATAGAACACAGAAGGAGAATTTTTAAAATAATATGGTAACTTTTTTAATTGATTGGAAGTTAATATGGACTGGGGCTGTTAAGCTTCATACTGACAATTAAAAAAAAAGTCATGATTGCAATCATGTGATGAACAGATTTTCAAGTTATTCACTTAAAATTCATCCTACTAATTTGGGAATTAATCTTTTTTCAGTTGGATCTTCTCAATGAATCTGTTATTATTTAAAAAAAATTAAAACCATAAAAAAATCATTACTTGAAATAAAATGGACATTAACTGAAATGAAATGAAATGAAATATAAAAGTAACTTAAATTTCTTTTTTCATCTAGTTGCCAGAGCAACATTTCTCATTTTCATTTAGTTTAAGTTGAAGTACAAAAATAACTAAAATGAACTAAACTAAAACTTATAAAACTATATAGACATATTGTTTAAAAAAACTAATAAAAATGACAAAATCACACAACAAAATTATTACAACTTGCTAGTTTTTTTTAATAATTATTTTTATAGAATTTTCACTGTAATACAAAAATAACAAGGCATTACAACTTGCTAGTTAAAATGAAAACAAAAAGTATAAAAATCAAATCTTATTCAAAATAATAAAAAACTGTAATAGTAATTTAATTTGTACTAAAATAACACTGGATCCAGTTCACAAAACCTGAGTGTCACCTGGATGCAATGAATAACAACTTAAATTTCAGTCTGTTCATATGACTTTACCAAAAACTTTGTAATTGCAGAGGAACAAGCAGTACTTGATTAAAATGTGTGGTTCAGAAACAGGTTTGAAACTGTGAGGGTGAGTAAAAGTTGACAGACATTTTTCTGTGAACTACCAACCATAATAACTTGGCTTATTTATTATTATTATTTTGAAGGCTTTGATCATGTGTTCAGCCGTCCTGTTTTCCTCCATTTAGTTGAAAAATAGATCATATTAACCAAATTATCAAAATGTGTTTTGGATGCTGCAACAAGAAGTCATGAGTGTGACAAATCACACAATGTTCCTTTGAAGAGACGCAGCTTTCTATAATAATGGTGCGCTGTTAGGCTGTGAATGAATGTGCTGTGATTATGATTCTGCAGGATTCGTCTACAAAATTAAATGAAGGCTTCTTACACAGCGGTTTGCTATCAGTGCTGCAGAAAACATCACAACTCACGCTGACATGCACAGACATTTTAGATATACCCACACATGAATGAGTATGTAATAGTCTGTATACATAAAGGAAAAAATGAAAAGAAAACCTGAGTTCCAGTTAGTTTTGTAGTAGTCACCAACTCTGATCTATTTGCAAAGTGTATAATTGTTGTTGATTTGTTAAAGTTATGGCAAACATATGATTGGGTTTTTACACGAATTGCCGGTTAATCAGATTAAACATAGTTGCATATTTCCATCTGCGTTTTTTTATGTATGTTTTATTGATGATTTGTGTATTGCATTTTTTTTTTTTAAGTAACACTAATGTTAAATTTAATGTTAAAATTAAAATGTGGCATAATTATTGCTATTCACCTCTGTCTCCAAATAATTAGAAATTTACCATTTCATCACTTGCTCACCAATGGATCCTCTGCAGTGAATGGGTGCCGTCAGAATGAGAGTCCAAACAGCTGATAAAAACATCACAATAATCCAAAAGTAATCCATGCCACTCCAGACCATCAGTTAATCATCTTGTGAAGTGAAAAGCTGCATGTTTGTAAAAAACTAATCCTTCATTAGGACATTTTAACTTTAAATTGTTTCTTCCGGCTAAAATAAGTCCATAATATTGCTTTCTCCAGTGAAAATTCACCTCGTCTAAATCAGGAGAGAACAGTTTGCAAGTGAAAACAAAATAGTTCTAAACAATGGACTTTTTCACTGGAGAAAATGTTTTTATGGATCTGAATATTTCTGATTTTGTAACATCTACCATTTCTTCCATTTCGGGATTATTTTTCTGACGGCACCCATTCACTGCAGAGGATCCATTGGTGAATTTTCCAATGATGTGAATTTTCTGCGATAATGCACAGCACTCCACAGATGCTTGGATTTAACCATCTAACTTTGGATTTTAATATTTCTATTAAGTAGTCTATTAAGTGCTCAAAATTGTTAAAAAAATTTTTTAAAACAAATACATTTTTCTTACAATTGTTTTTTAAATCTTGGCAGCCTTGGTATTCTGTCCAGTTGATTTTCATCCTTTTTGTTGTCATCCTTTTTAATCAAGTCAGTGGCATGGGGTAGGAAATGTCAGCAAGGTCATAAATAATGCAGAAATGTCACCTGGGGAATGTTTATGAGGGTGTGCAAGTTTTCAAAGGCAGATTGGTGTGCTGTAAAGCTATCGCTCCCCAATGACACCAGCTGCTGGACGTTAAACTCCTCTCTGCTCGAATTATATGCTACTGCTCATCATTTTCAAACTCACATGACTGTGTGAATTCAGTCGGTGCAGGTGTCTCAGAACACCGTCTGAGTTGTGGAAAAATGTTCCTAATCTTGCATTCGAGTGCAGTCTCATGTCAGTCTCTGCACACACACACACACACACACACACACACACGCGCGCGCGCGTGCGATCGCTCGCTGAGAGAGCTGCATCCAGCAGAGCTTTTGATTGAGCGTGATGAAGCGTTAATTAGTGTACCTGATTTGGAGGCCTTTGGCATGAGGTGTTTGTTTATGGTGGCAGAAGACGACGCATGGTGCCTGTGCGTGTGGCACTGGGTTAGTAATTCTATAAATAATTTGAAGTGATTCAAAAAGACAATCTGGGTCAAGTTCAGTTGAACTGCTTTAATATTTCAGTGTAAAATCCGGGAAAAATTAAATAGTCATCATACACTTACATACTAAGTGTGGTCTGTCATTTTTTTTTTAATGTTTTTGAAAGGAGACTCTTAGCTTACCAAGGCTGCATTTATTTGATCAAAAATACAGTGAAAACAGCAATATTGTCAAATATTATTATATTTTAACATAACTGTTTTTTATTTTATTATATTTGAAAATGTCATTTATGATGCAAAGCTGAATTTTCAGCCTCATTACTCAAGTCTTTAGTCTTCAGAAATCATTCTAATGTGCTGATTTGGTGCCCATGAAATATTTATTATTATTAACAAATGTAAAATATCTGTAGAAAAGGTGATACATTTTTTTTCTTTTGTGAATAGGAAGTTAAAAAAACAGCATTCATTTAAAAATAGAAATCTTTAGTAATATTTTTAATTTATTTACTGTCGTTTTTTTATCAATTTAATGCATCCTTGCTGAATAAAATAATAATTTCTTTAAAAAAAAAGAAATCTTACTGACGCCAAAATTTTTGCGGATGTTGTTTGTGTGATTTTTAGATTGCCACAGTTTATTGATTGCTATGTTTGTTTGTTTTTAAATGAAGCATATTGCTGATTCTTAGTATCTGAGATTTGCACAACTAAACCTATTGAACTCCAGTATGTAAATTGTCCCACCATCATTTGTGCTATGGACACGATATTATCCTCAAACTGTGTGGCATTTTTAAGAAGTGTGTTACTTTTTAAGTGATCAGATTTACGATTAAATGAGCAGAAAAAATCCCAAAGACATTGAGTAAGGGACTTGAGGGAAAATGACACTTTATATTTAAACGGATGTTTCTGTTTGAGTAAATGTAATTATGTTTTCGTTTTGTGCCGGATCACTGCTTTTGTTCTTCTGCTGTAATTATACCAGACTGCAGATGTGATGCTGCATACAGCAGGGTTGTTATTGGCCGAGTGTCATGATGTGTTACCCTTAATCTCATACACATGCTCCCCATTGTGTTTAATATCCATATTTCCCCCCTCCTGTTCCTCTCTCTGTTGTTATGTGTATTAGGAGGAGAGTCTTACTGGGGGAAGCCGTTCAAGGACGAGTTCAGACCCAATCTGTCTCACACGGGTCGTGGTATTCTGAGCATGGCTAACTCGGGACCCAACACAAATAAATCCCAGTTGTGAGTAAATGTTTCATCTCCTCATTACAGTGACTGGATTCATATCAAACGCTTTGTTTAGAGTTTGTTTTAAACCTCTGAAAGTATTAAACTTCTGCAACTAATTCAGCCCGAGCCTCTTCACAAACTTTAACCTGATGTCTGCTTTGGGTTTTTATAAACCTCTTTAACAGAAATTTAAGATTCCGTTTTAAATATTGACCTTTGACATCACTAGAATTTTCTGCATTTTAAATCTAACCAGCACCTGTGATGTCATTCTGATATTTTGCATACTGAATTCTGGTTGGTCTTGTCTTTCTTGTACTTCTTTAACCCTCTGTAACCAGCAATAACAAATGAGAGGAAACAAAGCCTAAACTGACCTGAAACTTCAACACTATTGTTTGTTGCCTGTGTAAGCACTGATGTTGAGCTCATGAAAGGCAAATATAGTGTAAGTATGAAATTGCCCTTACTAAAATGTTTCTTTTCTGTTTACTTTCAGCTTTATAACATTTCGCTCATGCACATACCTGGACAGGAAACACACTGTGTTTGGAAGGTAATTTTATTTATGGATTGATTTGTCTTCAGTAACAGGACATTCACAGTCAAATAGCTTCATCAAGGCAGTACTAAATTAAAAAAAGACAAAGAAAAAACGTTTTATGACCCCTCTTTTAAAAATAAATATACTCTTCAAAGGGTTGGTAAACTTAGCTGTATTTTAGGTTTGCCGAATTAGTTGAATAAATAATTGAAATTTTGATGATAGCTGCAACGTTTTTTTTTTTTCAACCTTTTAGTCTAACATGCAGTTTCTCGTACAAAATAAAGGAAAATAACTGACAGTGATATCAATTGTGAATCTCTACACTACCGTTTAAAAATATCTTTACACTAAATCATTAGTCCTCAAACATTTGTATAGTTGTGTATGTTTATCTTAAAATGTATGCATGTTTTGTGTATGTGTGTAGAGATTGTTTATTATGGTGGATTCCAGTGAAGGTTAAGTGGTGTATTTCTCATTTGGTCAGCTTTCTCTGTGTGAAACCCTTCCTGGGGAAAAGCATGTCTTCTGTTGAATCAGAACATTCCAGCACACGCACACCTTTCACTCTGAGGGAAAGTCTTGCCCATTTGGCATTGAGTTGAAATCCTTGGACTCTAGCTGTGGAATTCAGAGGCTTGTCAGCATAAGCATGAACCAAACTCCTGTGCACACTCACATGCACCCCTCAGTCTGTGTGTACTTACTGAGCACGTGCGGTGAGAACGGACACACACACACACACACACACACCTTGACCCTCAGCCTATGGGGCACTTAGAAACCTGAGGCTCCTGTTTAGTAGGATCAGCTGTACAAAGAGAGAAAGTACACAGCATGTGTACATTTAGATCCAACGCAGCAAACAAGACAAATGGGGCATCATTTACTGGTCATTTGCATGTTATAGATTTGTTTGCTGTCCTCCCAAGTTAAAAGAAAATGTACGACTGAGTTCGAGCTTCTCTCATTACAGATATCACATCTTGGTACGGAGTAATAACTTGTTTAAACTTTGCAGCTGCACATTAGTTTGTTAAAGAAAGTTGAAAAATTGGCCTGTCAAGCTCCAAAAATGACCAAAAATAAATAAATAAATAAATCACCAAGAAATGATCATAGATGCACAATTTTCCAAATCTTCTGAAGCCATATTAATTTGTTATTTACTGTAACCTGGTTTAATTTGAGTTTTATTTTATTATTCATATGTAGTATTTTAGTATGTAGTATTTATTAATAATTTGAATTCGATTTTCAGTTTTCATTTTAGTTTTCATTTTTGTAATTTTATGTGCTTGTCATTTTTTTTAATTTTTTTTATTTAGCTTTAATTTATTATTATTTCAGTTTTAGTTTGACTAATTTTAGTACTTCAACTTAAGCTTATTTATTGAAGTTACATTGCCAAGGCAGCATTTATTTTCATGCAAGTTTTAGGTTTTTAATCAAACGTTTTTTCTTTTTAAATATTTTTTATTTTATAATTTAATTAAATTTTTTACTCGCTGAAAATAATTTTTAATCGTTTCAGTTAACAATAACAACCCTGTTAAAACCTGTTTTCAGAAGGCTTAAAATAGAATTTAAAAATATAAATACATGTATTTTATTTTATGGATTATACTTCTTTGGTCCTTTTTGCCCTTCTTGTAGCATAACAGCTCAAGATGAGGATAAATAAATCGCAGAATTGTTCATATTTGGAAATGTTGTTCCTTTTAAGAAAAGTAGAAGATTGTTGGCTACATTGAGAGAGATTGATCCAGTCTCATTAGAGATATTATCACCACTTGGCACTGAATAATAACTCATTTACTCTGTGCAGCAGGATTTTAATAGGATTCTGTCCCTCACTTGCTCTCTTTTAGAGTGGTTGGTGGTTTAGAGACCCTCACAGCGATGGAGAATGTTGAAAGTGATCCGAAGACAGACAAACCCAAGGTGCTGAAGCCACTTATTTCCCTATAAGTGTAGCATCAGAAAATGTACAATTCGGTTGCACATGTCAGCAGTGTAGGGCTGTGCTTTATGTTGACTCACGGTACCTTCTGTTTGTTTATATTTTTCCACCTGCTGTCAAATCCCACAATGCCAAAAAAGAAAACAGACCAATTCAAAACAGCAGAATTTCAACCATTTTTCTCTCCTTCATGTAAAATGTTTTGCTTGGGGCTGCAGAGTTTTTGACACGTCACTTCAGTTCCTTTTCAAGACTTGAAAGGAGTGTTTTCTCAGACTCTCTGTTTCTCTTTCACATCGTCAGTCTGAGATAGATAGATAGATAGATAGATAGATAGATAGATAGGATGGATGGATAG